CATTGTGTTCAACAGACTGCTTTCATATTTTAGATCACGCCACTACCAGCTTTCAGCTCAAGATAAAGGAGGCTATCCATATTCAAAAAGAACTACCTTATCTCAATCAGCAATTACACCATGTAAATCTAAAATTATCCTTTTAATTTACACCTTTTCACGTTCTTTTGTTACTATTTGTCTTAATTAGCATTTTTGTCTACTTATTATTCAACTTGCTTTGTAATCATTCAACTGAAGATGCCTGAAGTTCTGTCGAAACATGTCTTGTAAACTTAAAAAATTGGTCGTTTTCCTTAAAATTTGGAGTTATTTTGCTCACACAAGCCAACATATCAAGACTCACAGGGGCTGGTATGCTTTTGCAAGCTAACATTTATTGGCCTGGATGTTTCATCCGGGTTTCCCTATACAGCAAAAGGAGTCATTGTACTTTCGCAAGCCAATAGCTCGCTGGCCAACATTGCTATCCGCTTGAACTGATTGATGTGGAGAGCACTTCTAAGTGAGACATATTGTCAGAGGTTGTCAGAAACTTTCAGAAACTGAAAAAGACTGCCTTACACTTGCACTGTTCTTGCATTGTTAGCAATACACCTGAACAGTAGCCTGCATAGTAAGCGTTCCCGTACAAAGAGCTTTTCTGCATTCTGGCCACGTGTAAGTCACAAGTCGAGTTATTCCTGGAATCAGTCAAGTGAATTTGATACACTTGTCAATCAAGATGGCCACGCTGCACCAATTAGGAGCCCTGTTCGTGGGCAAACACTTTTTTCAAAATTGAGGGGTTTGCAGGCAAACGTTCCCTCCTCCCCTAACCACTCCCTGCTTTGTCAATTTTTTGCTCTCACTCCAATTCACGCATGGCCAGAATGTCAAAAAGCTCTTCGCACGGGAACGCTTGCTACGCAGGCTACTTGAACAGTGTTTACAGTCATCCTGTTGTTGCTTTTTCAAGATCAAAAGTTAGTATGAGAATCTCAACAGAACAATACCACTCAAAGATCGCCTTTCATAACCATTTTGTGAATGCAAAGGGTGCCTGATCACATTTCAAGGATGAGTTTTAGAATATGATGCGTGGCGCATGTGGAAAATTTGCTGCAATTCTTGGAGCCAAGACGTTAATTCTCATGCCAAAATTGAAACAAGTTGTTACACAATATAAAATGTAGAATGACGTGATGCTTTGGTTGACACAAATGATGTGCTACAATGTGTATATTCCATTACTGATAAGGCAAATGAATGATGTGAAGGAAAATCTAAACCGTACAATTTTTGATGTCATTGATCCGACCATCATTTTCTGTGAATAAGATCATGCATGAAATGGACGTGCACCCTAACTAAACGTAAATGCTCTAAATGTAAACAGTATCTAAAATTACTTGTGAGTGGCTTCCAGAATAACTAGCTTGTTTGTTTCTACACTTGCCATGATATCATTCTAACACAACACATTGGAGATAAAAGCAAATATTGATCTTATCAACTTCAGTGAAACATAGAGAGGAAAACAGAGACAGCTCACAACATCTTGCTCAAAATCCTACCATGACAATCAAAACACAAAACTGTAACAATATCATCTGATAATTTCCAGGTCAAATGCATATCATTCATTGTAAGACTCGGCCATTCTCCTGCCAACCCCTTCATCTGCAAATTTAATCAATGAGTATCCCCTCTCTCTTATCTCACACTCTCATGGGTAAAACAGGTAACAAATAAGCATTGTGGGTTCACCCTTCCCTTCAAAACATTTTCTAATTTATAGCACATTAATATTTACTACATGTTATTTTTAGAACTACTCGGATAAAATCGGTACCCAGGGATTTTATGCAGCACAATATTTTTATTTTGCATATAATAAACCAAAGAACTTCATTGATGTAAACAAAAGCTCCCTTCCTCTAAAGGTCTTTCACAACTGAACATATTGCTCATCAAAATAAGGTGCAACACAACAGTACAGAGTGACATAACAGTGCCGCTGACAGACTCGTATAGGCAGACCTATTGTCTAAACACACTAACAAATATAGCCTGCAATGCAGGCATAAACAGGGAAGGGGTAGGGATCAGGCGGCAAAAAGGACGAGGAAGAAGGGGAAAGAACGCGTTCCGGTATTAGAAGGGAAAACAAAGAGAGACATGCATAATTTAATCGTGTTTAGGTAGCAACAACGCTTTTATTGCTGTCCACAGATAAATTCCGCAAACCAGTGAGGACAAGGCAAAAATATCCACTTGCTTGGTACCCACTGTTTCAAGCGAATTTGCATCATTTCTGTTTCGCGTGAATCAACCACCTCTCCAAAGACATAGACAAGGTCATCTTTTTCGGTGAAGGAAATAGAAAATCCTTTTCAAAGACAATATCTAGTGTATAGTTGGATTTTACGGGTGAGTAGGTGAGCCGTTTGCCCCTCGAGAAGTAATAGAAGATCAAGTCACTGACTTATCAATCACTTACTGTAGAAAGTCATTTAGAAAGACGACTTTGGGTTTTTCAATGCCTACCCAGGTAAAACTTGTTGTTGCCTACTGTTTCTTTTAAGTAGGGCTCCTCAGCTGTACCCGTGAGACGGTACAACTCCCCTTTCATTCCTTTCCTCCAACCTTTGTTATGGCAAGTGGGGTGACATTCTTCAAATTCTTCTTTCAGACAATCCCAGAAAAAAAAGTTGGGACACGAAACACGTTCTTCCCTCCCCCCACTTACAATGTTGATAATCAAGTGATTTTTTCCCTTTTTGTTGCAAAAAACCAGGACATTTTCGAACACTGATTAGGGGGGATGGGGGATACGTAATCCAGCTCAACTGTCCCAACTACTTTTGTCCGGGATTGAAGAAGAACCCAGGTGCCACAGGTGACTAACTTTTGGCTCTGGGTGACTGAAAAAACTTACTATATCTCATACAAGTTTGAGTGCTGGGCACCCAGGATTGCATGGTTAGGAACCTTTAGGCTCCTCATAATTTTTCTTAGACCGCAGCCTTGTACTACTGAGATTAAGAGAATGTAATAGTTATATGTATTGTAATTATTGCTTAAGAACCGGTTATAGAGAGCATAAAATCTACCTGAATAGCACCCCATCACCATCTTCTCCCCACCATCTGAGACACACTTGAACATCTGTAGGATACTTGGGAATGGTCCAATGAATTGTTGGTATTGACACTTTAAGGAAGCACCTTAGATGTCCATCCACAGCAGGAGGGAGACTGGTTACTACAGGTATTCTGTCATGATCAGAGACCATACTAGAAGGAGTACTGGAGGCTAGAAAGAAATGCAGCGGCAAGTGATTTATAGAGGAAGTCCCATTGACTGCTGGCTGTTGAGCAAAGTCTCATTTGCACAGAAGCCTTCTGAAACACATGAAAGCTAACCGTGTTTTGGGCATTAAAGATGAAAACTTCACTGGTGCTTGTTTCACCACAGTAACTAAGAATACTCTTCTTCAATCAATAACCACTGACTAAACATACACGTATTGTTGAACCATATGCCCAGAATAATTTTCAGACCCTAATTTGTACTCAAGAAACTGATTTCAATTTTTGCAGCCAAACCACACTACCTTTATTACTAGAAATATGCATCCCTTTTCCTCAGTTAAGGCACATCACTGGTCCACTTAGTACACGAATGGTAGAACTGTGATCTAACAAATATATTCTCCACTTTAGCAATATTTACATTAGAGACAATTTTTTATTGACCCTATTATTTGCATGGGTCTCATGTAATAATCCCCTAACACTGGAAGGGAGCACCACAGTACATTCTCCTTTGCATCTTGAAACTTAATTTGAGTCTATTTTCAACAAATTTTCAACCCTAGTCACTGAAATTTGACAAGAGTGTTGCCCAATAATCTGGCCAAAAAACTCTCAAGAAGAGTTTATTTTTTAGATTATTCAGCTTTTTTAGTTCAAGAATTGACTTTAAGTCCAGTACATGAGTTTCAAACCTGTCCAAGACAGTCCTGGACACCCAAAGATCTTATAAGCACTTCCAAAAAAGTCCCAAAGCAGTTTCCATGGCAGTGTACCTTGTGTTTACCACAAGATAGTATTCATTAATTCATTTACATTTTATCGGTGCTATAGATAATATGCTGTAAGCTTAACAGCTTAAGAACGGTGCCTACTAAATACAAAGGTTTTTGCGCCAGATTAGGGCCATGCAGAAAAGTAGATCTTTGCAAGAGCTACTGAAATCCACAAAGAAAAATGGGAGTAGCCACGCATTTTTTCAAGATAATTAGACTTGATTCTCAAAAGAAAGAAGGAAAGAATGTTTCTTCACAGATTTCCTTAGAATTTGCCTTTACATACAGAGAACCAAACACATTCATAAAGATCTCAAGACTACACAGTAAATAGTAACATAAAATCCATTTTTGAATTATTTTTAATAACAAAATCATTGCAACAATGCTTTTAGCGTCCCTGACAGCCTTCCTTTTGTTCAGCTAACCCCACAGTTTAAATAGCTTTTCCTCACAACTAGAAACTAATCACATGTTGAATAGTATTGCCACTTCCATTTCATAACATAAAATGTAGGGGTTAACCACGCATTTTTTTGAGTTATTCACCTCTTTTAAAAACTTTCATGGTACCTTACATTTTTTCCTTCACCTCCCCAGTAAGTAAAACATTTGTATCTCTCCACTTGTTTTGCACGCCCACTATGCCATCTGCAGTTACATGTTTACGGTTGGATTTCAGTATAATTTTCAACAGATAACAGCTAGTTTTTCAGCTGGAAGCTGTTAACAGTTAGTGGTAAGCAATAAGCTGATATCCTGGTATTTCTGGTCTTAGTACAGGTTCATTAACCTTGATCTGGTAACAGCAGGAAAATTTTGCTTTCATTTTAGTCATGTACTTGGTAGCATAGTTGATTACATCAATGCCAACCCTAGTGCCTACATGGCGGTTAAACAATGTCTTGCATGATGCGCAGCTCGAGTGCGCAGTAACAAAAGTAGGCAACGTCCTTAATTGTGTTCGCATGGTATCCGGTGGCGGGTCTAAAACACAGGTCACGGGTCATTGTTTTACCAATACTGGAACAACCCTAACCCCTTCCTAATGCTAACCTTACGCCTAAGTACTACACTAAGACAATGTTTTAGGCCTAAATACTGCACTAAGACAATGTTTAGGCTTAAGGCGAGTATAAGTTAAGGTTTAAGGTGGTTCCAGTATTGGTAAAACAATAACCTGTGACCTGTGTTTTAGACCCGCCAGGTATCCGGTCACTTCTCTCCATGGTTAGATCACTCCAAGCTGCTCCAAGTCAGTTTGCTCCAACGCGCATATAGGTTATTTCTCATTCTTTCATCCACTGCCAAGCCAAACTCCATTACCTGTGTGGAGTGAACTATTTTTTGGTTGGAGCAAAGTGACTTGGAGCAATCTAACCATGGAGCGAAATAACCGTAAGCTGTCCATGTAAACAAACTAGTGAGACAATCTCAGATAGTGCAGAGTGTAAATGTATAGCTCTGACGCAGTACTCATAACATAGTTCCTGTATAACCCCTGCCATTCACTCCTGGTTTGTATTGACCTTGTTAGTCAGCTAGGGATTTTGATGAGACATAATCTTAGCAGTGTGTATGTTTTTGATGTGTGTATTTTTATTCACAGTCCAAGAATAGCTTACAATTAATTACCGTTTGTCAAGACAGCTCTTGAATTTTACTGTAGTGTTTTACGTTGATTTTTGCTCATTTTAAATTAAATAATACATTTAAGTAGTGAACGCAACAATTTTACTCTTCACGCAAACGTTTGCAACTTGATACTTTTGTTTTCCTCGCAAACGTATGTAACCTGAAACTCTTGTTTTCTCGAAAACACATGGATGTGTGCTGGCATTCTTTTCACAGCCGGAGATAGATGGAGGAAAAGTTGTATGTCAGAAGAAGAATGATTTGCTTTATTTAACAAGCAAATTTTCTTTTGACCGATAAAGAAGAACTAATCTAATTATCAAATTGTCACGGAACAGCAGGTTCCGTTGCAACCTTTGGCATTAACATTAAAACCACTTAAATTTAAAATACACACTGATATCGATTAATACAACTGATAAGCGTTTCAACGAGAGCTATTGAAAGTAAACAGCGCTACTTGACTGAGATTATATCCTTCATCATTGAACGAGTCTCCTCAGAGACTGATAAAAATTTATGTTTTCAGTAGATACCACAGAGTTTGCAGCAATATTTGAGCAGTTTCCTGGGTTTTTGTACAATTTGACAAGTTTTAATGTCACTTACTTGGAAGAGTTTCGGCTGCAGGTATGAAAATTTTGCTCTCTCTGATAGAGACAATTAAAGAATGAAATAAATGCACTAGTGTAGTTTGGAAACAGCAGATGATATTTCTTGAACCAAGGTAGGTGTAATTCCAGAAGACATGCAGTCACAGTGGCATTCTTGTATCGCCTTAACGATGCTAGAATGCATGCATATGACTTATTAGGGTTCTACCACACGGAAATCACTCAATGTTAGTGTGTAATCTTGTATGAAATGTTTTTTCCATCTGATGTGTAGTCAACACTAATGCTTATTAATCTGCGCGTGTGTTTATTACAAATATTGGTTTTGTTCTAAAGAGAAAAGTATCACAAGGAGAGCAAGGGGCTTTCTGAAACAAACAAATAGCTTTTGAAGATCTCAAGAAAGTAATGAAGGTACATACACCACCCATTTTACGTAGTGCTCACAAGTACCTACCCCATCCAGCCCCCTTGCTGCAAATCTAATTAATTAATTTCAATTAATTAATTATACAGACATTAAAGTTTACACCTTATGGCCATAGTGCAATAGTGCCTTATTGCCATAGTCATTTAGCGACGTCAACCCCCAAACCATCCCATTAGTGCACTCTGCACTAAAAATCAGGAAACCTTAAGAGAATTCCAACATTTGAATGATACAGTTTACAAAAGTTCAATATCTTCTAGCATGTAATGATAAATAAAACTGATAAACTTGAACATAATAAGCTTAAATTACAAGAGCTTATAAAAGGTAAGATGATCTAAACTCAAGCTCCACTAAGGAACACACGTACCGCTTCGTTTCTCCCCCGCGGTGATTGAGTACGAGGCCGTTTTCGTCTTCTTCCCAGGCTTTTTCTTGTAATTTACCATCTCAAGACATAATTAATAACCTCTCTTTAACTTAAGGTATAGAAAGCTAATTCGAAAACGAAATTAGCGCCACACAAATCTGTAAAGTTGAAAAAAATCAAGATAGTCTGACTTTTCCCGCCATGTTTATTTATGGTATGTAAGTCGCCTTGTTCACTCCTTCATGTAAACTACATATTCTGCACACATGCGAACATATCAAGTCTATCAAGGATGCTTTGCGTGCGAAACGTCTCTGAAAAATACCACACATAAGCACTTTTTGTAAACTTTATTGAGTGCAGTTCAATTCAAAGTGCTACATAGCAACAATTTGTTTACCACCGTTTACCTCAGTTAACCCCTGGTTACCTTACCTCCATTTCCCTTTATGTAACTCCGTTCACCTCCGTTTATCGAAAGTAGTACTATCGAAAACGAAGACCCCCTACGAATAACGAAGACCACCTACGAAAAACGAAGACCCATTACTACCGTTTATCGAATTTATATGTCCTTACAACCATAAGCGTACGACCCGGGGGGAGGAGGGGGAACAGGGGGCTGTAGCCCCCCCCCCCCCCACTTATAGAAATTATGTAATTTTTTGGCCAAACGCTCATGATTCGGGTAACGACACCTGACAGAAAACATTACAAACAACAACAACAACATCTTTATTTTCCCATTATAGCGGACCCCTATATACCCATATAGGAAAGAAAAGTAATCTATTCCATAACACTCTATTCGTGCTCAGTTAGAATAAGGTATGGGAAATAATATTGCTCAGCGGTCTGAGCCCGGCGTCGACAAAACCAGGATCGGATCGGACCGGACCGGACCGGACCGGATCACGGATCGGATCAAGGATCGGATCAAGGAAAAAAAAATTCAAAATTCAAAATTTTGTTGAGCAAATTACACTAGAGTGACTACTGTGAGCAGAACGTT